TGAACCGCTGCTCCATTCATTCCCTCCGCCACCACCTCTTCCTCTATAAGAACCACCTCCACGAGGAATAAATCCACGACCACGAGAACTCATAGTGGAACTATAAAAGAAATTCAAAGAATTCTGTCATTATGCTTACATTGTATTTATTTCTTTTTTCATATTTTATGTCTTGATATATTTCAACATCCTTATTCAAAAAGTTTTTTGACCAATTGAAGAAACCGATTATTAATATACAAATATGGTATTTTATATGAAAGTATATAGTAATAAGTTATATATAAAAGTCGTTTGGAATACAGAAGACTTATTTATTAAGATGTCATCAAAGTAAATCATTTCGTATTGAGCTTGTAGATCAAATGCAACCCTTGCAACATTATGAATATACTTTACCAACCTGTATTTATTATAACCGTAGCTCATGGTTGCAATATTTTTGATGAACGAGCTAGAAAGAGAAAGGAGACTGTAGCAGATGCAGCGTCTATGGACAAAACAAATATTTTTATACAACATATATCTGTTTCAACGTGTGATACAGATTATATATTTCCGAAAAATATACACTGAAGCCTCTTCGCCACTATAAATTGCTATTCAGATTAATCATGATTGTAATAGAAATTGATATGAAAACGAATATCGACTATGTGCAATACCTGCAAATAAGATTCTTTTTTTTAAAAAAAGAAGTAGCAAAAAGTACTATAATGAAATACCATTCATTGATTGCATTGGAGAGTCATTATAAATAATATGACGATGACGAAAGAGAATTCTTATTCCCTTTACATGAAATTCTCTGGAGACACAGATTTATCATGAAATAAAAACTACGAATCGACGACAAAATCGATATTATATTTGTGCAATATTAAAAATAATAGTCGCAATCTTGATATATATTAATATCTCGCACATAACGTGCATAACGTGGATGAGAAGCTTACATTGCTGAGCTAAAAGAGGTGTCTTTTTTTTGCTTATTACGACGGAAAACACGATTATAATCGATTCTTCGATCCGTTCAACACGTGCGGTATATTCGGCTTAGTCAGCCTTTTTATAAATGTGCAATCTTGAGTGACTTGGTTGCAAGCTGTTGCCTTTCTCTTGTTCTTTATAGATTCACAAGTTTTTTCGGGAAAAGTCTATGCCAAGTTGCATCACGACATTGACCCATCGGAGCAGATAAAATGTCGGCACACGAATTTTTGGAGTAGCGTCCCACACTGTCCCACAGTCGTAAGGCCCGTTCTACAATAAATCGTATGTCGTTAGTCGTAAAGCCCGTATCAGACTACCGAATTGAAGATTGAAAGACCAATCAGGATAAAAGGAACTAAAATTTTCTTGTCCTGATTGGTGAAATTTCAATCTCAATGCATAGTCTGATACGGGCTTAAGTAGATTGACCAATCACAGTCGAATATTCTCGGAATAATCGACTATCGTTGGTCAATTTGCTTAAGCCCGTATCAGACTATGCATTGAGATTGAATTTTGACCAATCAGGATAAAAGGAACTAAAATTTCCTTGTCCTGATTGGTCAAATTTCGATCGCAATGAAGATATAGAAGTCTGTACGAACTAGTCGTACGATAAATATAGAGTGTGTTCTATTCGACGCAACAAATGTTTCGAAACGTTTGATCGACTAATCCGAGCAAAGAAATCTTTATTTCTTTCATTCTGATTAGTGTATCAAAGGATTCAAAATTATCGTAGCGTCAAAATAGCGCACATCCGTAATATCATTCTAATTAGAAAGAATCGTTTTGAATATAAGAATCCGGTTTTTATAGCATGAAGAACATATAATTTTTCGCTTATTTAATACTATTTTATGAAATATATTTTCAAATAATAAATTAATTAAAATCTGAATCATGCTTTAGTTCATATATCAATTTTATACAAAATGTATACGACTTGAAGGAGATATTTATTATTATCATATTAATGTTATATTAATTATATATTATTTTTAATTATATTATTGTTATTATTGTATTCTATTATCACATCGAAATATCGTTATCATGAATTAAAGGAAAAACAAATCTTTACACGTTAATAAATTTACAGTCATCAATAACACAATTATTATTTTTTGAGAAAGATAAGGTAAAAGAGGGAAAATAAAATGCATATTTATACGTATTTGCAATAATCTTATAGATCATGCTATATTATACATTGAACAAACCATGTATGCATTGATGCATTGTGTTTACATCATCACATACGTCATGTTGACATTGTTAATATTTGCTGTATTTATTCCTTTGCACATTTTCTGTTGCCCAGCCTACATAAAAGACAAAGCTGGAAATTTATTAAAGTAATACGTTCAATCGCATAATTGGTACAAATTGATGAAGTTAATTTTTTCAGAAAATTTTTTAATATAGTAATAACGATAACATACAAAACATTTAAATTTAATATACTGCTTTTCCATAATTCTATTTACATGTAAGAGATTCTTCCAAATTTATCTTGTCATGCTTATATTGAAAAAATCCTAATAATGGGAACAAAAATGATTTCTACGATAGATATATATATTATCTACAAGAGAAAAAGAAAGGGAAAGAGAGGGAGG